GAAATGTGCGGCCTGAAGCGCGCGGAAAGGTTTGGTGCCCTGTTAACAATGGCGGGCTGGGCAAAGGAGTCCGTAAAGGACTTCATTCGGTATCCCTTATAAGGGTTAAATAACACATGGTTATAATGGAGTGCAAGAGTTGTAATAGGGAGTTTAGCAGCCGGCAGCGGTTGCAATATCACCTGCAGAATAAGGTATGCAGCAAGGAAAGGCGCAATAGTACCCGCTGCGAGGACTGTGGTAAGCAGTTTAGCAGCCGGCAGGCGTTGCAGTATCACGCACGGAAAAAAGTTTGTCAAAAGACGCGGGAACGGCGTTGTAAGGAGTGTAATCATTCGTTTGGCAGCGCGCAAATGTTAAAATACCACGTGGATAACCGCGTTTGTTTAAAGGATATCTGTGAGCGCTGCGAGGAGAATAAAAGAGAAGAGTGGCATCGACACCGCTGCCTCGGCAATTACGACCTGCAGGAGGTAGTCTGCTGGGAGCATGGCGACATTGCCGCCCGCTGTTGTCCAAAGGAAACCAAAAGGAGGTTAACTCAGCGTAAGAAAGAAATAGATCAGCGCTTCGCAATGTTTGACCGCGTTGAAGGTGTGCGCTGGGAGGACAGAGAATATTGGGAGGCGCTTTGCGAGCGCTGCGGCTGTCAAAGAAGTGACCAACATGTTTGGCAGTGTTTGTATGAAGGCCAGCGCGGCTTTAAAGAGTACGTAGATCGCTTTGACGACTGGCATGCCAACAACCAAAGGGATAAGAAAGCCCGTAAGTGTTAGGCTATGGTTTGCGCAAAGAGTTTCAAATCCTGATCTTATCTTTAATTAATATTCTTGGTTAATGGTTAAACAAGAAATAAGCACTAATTATAAGGTACCCTTTTAAAAGAGCCTTGCAGCCGCTGGATATATGCTATACTACTTCACAGCATTTCTGGGAGGATTCATAATCTCCCTTTCAATATATGGACTGTATTACATGCGAACTACCAGCTGATTGCATTACGCCTGAAATCCCCAAGCCGCCCACTCCTGCACCGCGTAAAAAATACACCTGCCTTCATTGCGGCAAGGTATTCCCCGAAGGATCCTTCGTTGGTCATTGGTGCTCCGCGGATCCTAAAGCGCAGCGTACTTTAGCAGACATTAAGAATGCAGAGGACTCTCAGGCTCATACTTGACTACGTCAAATACCCACCTGCCATCCTTTTTACCATGGCTCATAACATGCGTAACCTGCTGCCCCTCGATGGCGTACCTTATCCTATCAGGCGCCCAAAGG